TTTTTTTTTTTTTTTGTGGTTGGACTCGATCTCAAGGTCCCTTCCAACCATGAGGGTTCTGTGATTTATCCATTTAAGTCTCAGAAGGATTTGACAGGTCGCAGCCAGGTAATAGAAGTGATCGAAAGAGTTCACTTGGGTGAAGGCATCGACAGTGACAGGAAAAATGCCGAAACAGAAGAAATAAGAGTTTGAAGGGATGCTGTGGCAGGATGGAAGTAAGAAAAAATGCAGAGGGGCTGACTTGGTTTGGTTCATAGCTCTTTTATCCCATAAATCTTAAAATTACTTTAGAAAGTCCTTGAGGTTGGGCAACAGTGCAGGTTTGAAAGGTTACACCAGGTGCCCAGTGCTTCCGTAAATCAATAGCAAATCATAAAACCAACAGGAGAATTTATTGCTGGTGGCCCAGCGGCCCGGCCAGCTTTTTTTTTTTGTGTTGTTTTTTTTTTTTTTTTTTTTGGTGTTGGTTGGACTCGATGATCTCTGAGGTCCCTTCCAACCACTACGATTCTGTGTGAAATAAGAGTTTGAAGGGATGCTGTGGCAGGATGGAAGTAAGAAAAAATGCAGAGGGGCTGACTTGGTTTGGTTCATAGCTCTTTTATCCCATAAATCTTAAAATTACTTTAGAAAGTCCTTGAGGTTGGGCAACAGTGCAGGTTTGAAAGGTTACACCAGGTGCCCAGTGCTTCCGTAAATCAATAGCAAATCATAAAACCAACAGGAGAATTTATTGCTGGTGGCCCAGCGGCCCGGCCAGCGAGAGAAATACCTGGCTCGTCCTCCATATGATGCAATTGTGGCAGGGATGTCCTTTTTGGGGTTGTAAATCTCGAGGAGACGTGTCTGCTTGTCATTGAAGAGACGGCCGAGCTTGCTTCGTTCCTGGAAATAACCAAGCAAGCATCTTGGACCAAATTATCAGGTGGTTTGGTGGGGTCTCGATATTGTCGGACGTGCCAGCGGTTCACAGAGGGGAGGAGAAGGTGCTCTTTGCTTCCTGTTCCAAAGCATTCCAACCACGCTGCCGTGCGCGGCCAAAGTCCCTTTGACGCTCAGGAAGTCAGGGGGGTTGATATATAAAGCTCTGCTGGGTTTGCAGAACCTCTTTTTTTTTGGCACCTTTCCAGCCTGGAAGCGGCGATATAAATAGAGGAGCGTCTCACTATTTACTGGGGCCTTTTTTTTTTTTTTTTTTTTTTTGAAGTCTGCCTTCTATTCACGGGAAGGAAGAGCTTTGTGCCAGAGCTGTGATATAATAGCTGTTAAATACAAGGCTCAGGACCCAGTCCCTATGACGGGCTGAACCGCTTGACCGCGTCTCAATGGGATGCGAGCGAGCTCCGTAGCCTATAGCATCGCATCTCTTCTTAGCTGGTTGCTGACATCTGAATAAGGTTTGGCTCCATGAAAGCAGAGTTCAAGAGTAATCCATCCTCCCGCCTCCCCTCCCAGCTGTTCCTCTCTGCTAAAAGAAAAAAAAAAAAAGTTGCTTTTTTTTTTTTTTTTCTTTTTTTTTTTTTCTCCTTTTAGTCACATCAACAAAATGTTTGGGACCGTGGTGGTTGGAGTTGGAATTGCTGGCTTAGCACGGATCCGAGACTTGATGAATCCCATGCCTTCCAGCCCTTCTGAGCACCTGAAACTCCTCGGATTCGTATCCAGGTTAGAAATGTCATCTTCGCATGTTTAATATGGGTATTGTAATGTTTCTTTCTTCTGACGCACATGCCTTTCCCTGTGGGGGACTATTATTTGAGGGGAGCAGGGGGTGAATATCCAAAGTTTTATATTTCTCTTCTAATTAAGGCTGTCTGAAAAGGAAAGGTTTATGCAAAGATGGCTGTCATTTTGAGTGGCAGCTCGGAAATGAGCACAGGAAGCTTTGCAGGAGGGAACAAATAGGTTACCTCGGTGAGATACCTTGCAGAAATGACTAAAATGAAAGCGGAGAGACATTCTCACTGCGGGATCTGTGTGATAAAAGGAAATGCAATTCTGTCTGACTGAAATTTCCTGGAGGTTTAGGATGGTTTAGGACCATAATTACGCTAATGAGCTAATGTCTGCATGACATTTGTAGAAATGTTTGAAAAAAATAAGAAGTTTTATAGAGTTTTAAAAAGTGTTTTGGTTTTTTTTTTTAAAAAACATGTTATAACATGCCTGATGCTGCAACTTCATCATAAAATTCTATTATTTTTTTTTTGCAACCAGGTACTGAGCCTGTAGATGTCTTTAAAGAAAATCCCATCATTTAGTACTTCAGTAAGGTTGCCTTTTAGAGAGCAAGAGTTTTTCTCACTAGCTTGGAGCTGTGGAAATTTAGTGTAGACCTCCCTCTGAGCGTTCCTGCTAGGCTCTCTGCCCCATGACAGCGGAGCATAAAGGTTTTAAATAGATAGGCAGTACATGTATGGATCTCAGACTGCGAATGCATTTTCCAACTATATTTAAGTCATGCAGTCAGGCTTGTTTGAGACTGAAAGGACCCATTAGGTCATCCAGTTTATGTCCCTGCCAAATACACTCCTGGTTCCCTGCTTCCTTTGCTAGTGCTATGACTAGCTAGCCTTGGACAACACTAAGGATAGGATTGCCACCGAGAAACAGTGCTGTCGAAATGCACGGTTCACAGACAGCATGCTTGGAGATCTTGCCTTGCTCTTTGCATCCCAGTCACACACAGACGTGACCAGTCTTTGCTTTCAAGTCCTGCTTGTGGCCTACCTTCATGCCCTCTGTCACCTAACACTGCCAAGGTGCCTACTCCAGTCTTTGCTACACAGGGAGTGTGGAGATGTGCTCAGGGTGGTGGCCAAGAGAGCCTTCTCCTTCGAACCGACATGGGGTGTGTGTTACAGGTTGAAGCCATCACAACCACACGTCTGCTTTATATCTCTCCTGCTTGTCTGTACGTTTTGTAGTTGCATGTGTCCCTGCCAACTCAAGTGCTTTTGCCCGTGTCGTCCAGCACACTGGGGAGAAGTTCTCCCATAAGACCACCATCCTCTTTCAAGTCACTCTTATAAAATGGGTCTTTTGTAGGAACGCTTATTAAAAAAAAAAAAAAAAGAACAAAACCCAAACCCCACGCTATAACCAAACCCCACTTTACACTTCAATAGCAGGACAGTTTCTGTGCTGATACCACCACTTAGACACTGACCCATCTGTTTTGTTCTTTCGTGCACTCCACATCTGTCTGGAAGTGCTCATGCCCTTCCTGGATCACAGGCTGCCTTTGTTCTGCCCTGGTTGAACTCGTTGAGACAGTGTTCCAGGGGAGCAATGCATGCAGTTGGGAAGAACGGACTGTGATGGTTATGCTCTGGTTTGTATTGCAGGAGAAGTTTTGGCAATATTAACGAGGCCAAGCAGATTAGCCTGGAAGATGCTCTAAGAAGCGAAGAGATACAGGCAGCCTTCATCAGCACGGAGAACAGAAGCCATGAAGAAACCATCAGGTATTTTGAGAGTTGGTTTGTTTTCTTTTCCCTTTTCCCACTCTTTCCCCTACAATCTAGAAGCATAGAGGAGCTGTATAAAGCTGTTGCAGGAGAGGATGGGGACACTGGAGGAGAGACTTCCAGACTAGAAGCCTGAAATAAATAACAGCGAGTTCCCTAGAGCACCCAATAAGCCATGGAAGAGAGTAGGATTTAGGATGGATTCATTTCCCAAGTAGTTCCAATTGCTTACCTGTGCTGGATGGACAGAGAGTTTAAAACAGGATTCAAAGCCTTTCCTCACGGATTATTAGGGAAGGGCCCTCCATTGCCACGCTCCAGCCACTCGAGCGTCTGGACGTTAGAAATTGCGGTGCTCGATGCGGTGGCCTTCTAGTGACTTGCTGTAGGTGAGTGAGGGAACTCTGTGGAAAAAAAGAGAATTAAAACCCAGCTCTCCCAGTGTTTAAATGTGTGATGTAGCCACCACACCATCCTTGTTAAGAAGGTTGCTGTTTATTTCTGTTACTCTGTGTTGTGCATTTCTCCGCATGGGGCTGCCTGCGGGAGAGAGATGATTATGATGATACACTTTTTAAAGACTGACCTCCTGTCCCTTTCAGAATGTTTTTAGAAGCTGGGAAACACGTCCTCGTTGAGTACCCCATGGCTTTGTCTGCTAAGGCGGCCCATGAGCTCTGGGAGATGGCTGAGCAGAAAGGTAATGAATTTGTTCTCGAGAGCGTGAAGAGTATTACTTGTTGGGTAGCACCAAAGGCATCAAACTCAAAGGCAGGACTCCAGTCTACTATTAATGATGATGTACAAGGGAGTATTGCCTGTCTCAGAGACATGTCAATCTAGGATTTAAGATGTGTGCCGATGGGGAAATAAACACACGCGTGTCAGTGCGAAGAGTGAGGTGTGGTTGCCCTCAGAAAAGCCCTGGTCTCCTCTTATGACATTAAGAATGCAGTTAGAGAAGGAAACTTCTGTCAGAGTGATATTAAAGCACTTTGTGAGTGTAGCCATCGCATCTCCCTGTCCTCTCTCTCCCTGAAAATAGAACTGGAAACAGCTCCCGTACCTTCTAGCGTTTGTGATGTGCTGGTCACACACAGCTGCTCATGCTATTGTAGGCCAGAATGGAATCCCCCTCTGAAAGGCAGCTTGTCTCTGAGCAAAATCTCTTTATTTCTGGAGAGTGTGTGGTCCCATCCCTCCGGTGCCAAGGGTCAGAAGCTGGCAGTTCAGCCGAGGCCAGTGAGGATGTACGGGGCTGCAAGGAAAAGCACAGTGCCGGGCAGGAGCAGGCAAACCATTTGGACAAGCTGCACTATTTATACCACTGCTTCTTCAAAATTTCCTTTGTGGCTTTTGTCCTAAAGCACCGGAGGTGTAGGATTTCTGCTTTGCTGTTTCCCTGTGCCCACATCACTTACTGCCTCGTTGCTGGCCAAACGGCTTCCCGTTGAGCAGAATTTATGCCTCTTCTCTCAAAGCAGCGGCGGTTACTGTCAGCAGCCTGAATTGACTCTCCTGGAAACATTCCAGGAGAACACATTCTGAATGAGGGCCACGTTCGACATGTATGGGATAGCTTCTATTCCAAAGCAGCCCAATTAATTTGCAATGGAGGGAGGCGCTCCTTAACATATTGTTACAATCTGGGTCTGAGTACTATGCTGTTTTTCCCCTCCTCCTTTTTCTTTCCTGCTACCCTGGGAGAAAAAATGCAGAGCAAGGAAATGGTGGGGGGAAAGAGGCCAAGAATTAATCCGTCTTTTACTTTGAAGACTAATGTTTCAGCCTTAGTTGGGTGTTGGGTTTCATTACAGAGTTTCTGTTACACATAGTGGGTACTGTTCCTGTAGTCTCTGTATTTGTTGTCTCCTGAAAATCCTTAACCCAGATTAATGCCTCAGTGCAGAGCACATGTTTGGTTTTCTTCCTGACATTTTGCCAGCTGTGCATGAGAACGTTTCTAAGTGAGTTCCCACTGGTGGCTGGTGAACCCTTTACTGCTTAGATGAGATTTTGATTCACCCAGAAAGCTCTCATTGAATCTGTCCTGATTTATGGTGGGTTTTGGTTTTTGTTTTTTAATGGCAGGTAAAGTCCTTCATGTGGAGCACATCGAACTTCTGACTGAAGAGTACAAGCAGCTGAAAAAAGAGGTGGCTGGGAAAGACCTGGTGAAGGGAACGCTGCATTTCACAGGTCAGTAGCTGTGAGGAAATCAAAGTCCATCTGGGTTTGTCTGCCTGCTCCACGGGGATGCCAGTCCTTCCAGGCTTCATTCAGTCCTTTTAGATGAGAGTCTTTAAGTTGACTAGAGATGCAGGTATCAGTTCTGGATATTTCCATGGATTTCCATAGATGTTTCCATGAAATACCAGAACTGTCTGGAAAACACCTTTGCCTTAACGGTTGTTTTCTATGGGCTGTTGCTTTGCTAATCTCTTTCTGCTGTCTGGTGAAGAAAGCAAGCCCATGCCTTGTTGTATGGAGGGAAGAACACATCTTCATCCCTTCTGTGCTTTGGTGGTAGTGACCAATTTCTCATTCATATTGGTCTCAGAGAAGAGGATGAGCTCTAAGGAAGTGTCCCAATTTCTAGTTGGGTACCTTTAGTCTTCTGTGCTGCTATTTGCCCCAGAAGACCTAAGAGAGATTTTCGAGCCAATGTTTTCTCCCTGCTTTATTCCCTTGTTGAATCCACATACACCCTCCCATCCTCAGCATGTCCTGGAGGGTTTGTTTGATATGTACATTGTGCAGCCTTCTCTGTCATAGCTCAACAACTGATCCATGTCAAGGTTGATCATGTTTGTTGACTTTCCCACTCGGTCCATCCACTCCTGGCCTTTCTACACCTCGGTCTCTAAGCCTGCCACACTGCAGTTTCTTCAGCCTTTCCTATGCAGAGGACTTCATTCTCTTTCCCATTTCTCAAGACTTTCTGTTGCTGTTGCACCAGGTAGCGTCCTCGATGAAAACAAAACAGGATTCCCGGCTTTCAGTGGAATTGCCCGACTGACTTGGCTGATTGACCTCTTCGGAGACCTCACTGTTACCTCTGCCACCAGAGAAAAGCAGAAGGATAAGAATTATTCCAGAATGACCGTTCACTTTCAGACGGCAAACAAGAAGTGAGTAAAATGGCCATGGCAGCAGGGGAGTCGGGCTGCTTGGGTATCGGCTGCAGGAGTTCTGCATCCCCCCTTCCATTTGTGCAAACAGAATAGGGGGATGCTGGCCTGAAAGTGTACAAGAGAAACAGACTTTACAGTGATTTTTATAGCAATCACCATAAAAAGAGCCACCACCAAACAACGTCTGCTGAGGAGCAGGTTTGAATAGCTCTTTTCTGATGTCTAAATGCAGGAATGGGCCCGTAATGCATTTTACGATTCCCAAGACTGAAAGACCCTTCTCTTGCACTCAGAAAAATTATTTAGAGGCAGGATATTTTTTGCTTAGCATCAGGCATTCTAGTTGTATGGTGAAAGCTAACCTTCCTTTAAAGGTTGAAAATATATGACTGTTTGAAAAGGTAATGTAGTAGTCATAATACTTAGCTTATAGCACTGTAATGCTTGTGCTAATATGTAGTACTAGCTGGAGGTTAACATAAAATTGCACATTTCGAGCAGAAATATAATGAACTACTGAAAGGCCAATAAGCAAAATTTGCTCTTGACTAATGCAGGCTCCACAGTCCTGGGGTTTCTTTGATTTTTCCTGAGTAGGTTGTCAGTCTGTCTCCCATTTCTTGTCTTTTTGCTGTTTTTGTTCAAACAGAATCCAGCAGCCAGGATTGCTTGTCATTTTTTCCAATCATTGCCTTATGACTTTCTTGCAGAAAACTCTTTTGGTGATGCATTTTATAATAATCAGTTTGATCTCCCTTTTACTACATGATAACAGTAGCCTTGCTATCAAATAGTATTTCATACCGTGGATTGAGTACTCAACTTAGTCCAAAGTCTGGTAGTGTATTTTGCTGGAAACTCCAGTTTGCTCATTCTGGGCCATCCTCATGGAGGTCAAGTCCTTTCAGTTGGGTTGAAGTTGCTTATGAGGACATTTTACTGCATGCTATAGGTGCAACTTGAGAATTGTCTGATGTTAAAAGGTATCAAGAATTTACTCAAGTGCTATATGTGTCCTAGGAGGTGGGAATAGTGATGGAACAATTTGTTCCTTTCCCTTTGCTCCTGTTTTTTCTGTTTTTCCACATATAGTGCACACTACCTTTGAGCCAGATGACCCCCTTCTAGGCATATGATGAGACATATGAGAAGACTGGGGAGAGCAAGGGAAAATTAGACCCCAGGGGAAAATATAATTATTCTGGCCTGTCTTTATCTGTAATAAATTACACCTTTTTGTTTTGGTGCAAGTATACTGCTGGAATGCCTAAAACAAAAAAAAACCCACAAAACTAAAACGAAAAAAAAAACCACCCGTAACACAAATGCTTACTTCTTTAAGAATTTCAGATAGGTGTGTTGTTTAAAAAGTAATAACCTGAAGGACTAGCTATTTGGGGAGTGAGCAATTTGAACTGTGTGCTCATTTGAACTGTGAGTTAAGCATTTTATCAGCCGGTCCTACAAAGCCCACAGCAGTTCATTGAGGGATTAGCATCTTCTCTTAGCAACCTTCCTCTCTCTTTTAAAGAAAACCTCATTCCTAATTCCTTTCGAAACGTGGTCGTGAGAGGACAGCACTCTCTACACAAGCTCTGTTTACCCTCTTAGGGGTTTGCCAGTAACACGAGTAGCTGTAAAGATCTGTATGGAGTGAGGTTTTGAACTAATTCCAGCAGGTGGAACTCGCGGGTGGCTCAAACGTTTCCCTGCCTCTCCTGTCTCCTAGGTTGTCCCCAGCTGCTACGTGTGATATTTGCTAGATGCAGAACCACCTCTGGATTACTGGGGTGTTTTTCCTGCTCCACACCACTAACAGCTTTTCCTAGCCCACCACTCCCTATTTGTAGGGGGGTCAGTGAGTGTTTTGTCACCGCGAGCGTTTTAATGGCCCTGGGGACAGCCAGCTTTATGCCTCTGGGATAATTTACGCCGACTGGAAAGTCACATAGCGTTCCTGCCTTCTCTGGGGTGGTGGGGCCGTATTTCCTGCTGACCTTCCCCCATTGACGTCAGTGGAGTTACAGCAGGAGAGAATTTGGCCCCCTCTCCATCCAGTGAAGTTACAGCAGGAGAGAATTTGGGCCCCCTCTCCATCCAGTGAAGTTACAGCAGGAGAGAATTTGGGCCCCCTCTCCATCCAGTGAAGTTACAGCAGGAGAGAATTTGGGCCCCCTCTCCATCCACTGAAGTTACGGCAGGAGAGAATTTGGGCCCCCTCTCCATCCAGTGAAGTTACAGCAGGAGAGAATTTGGTCCCCTCTCCATCCAGTGGAGTTACAGCAAGAGAGAATTTGGTCCCCTCTCCAATCCAGTGAAGTTACAGCAGGAGAGAATCTGGCCCCCTCTCCATCCAGTGAAGTTACAGCCTGGCGGTCATGGTGGTGGGGTTCACAGCTCTTAAATTTGCCCAACTTTTATTTTCCTGACGGATGGGAAAGGTCTGCACCTTCCCCGGGAGCTACCTCGTCCTTTTTCGAAAGGCACAAACACACTAACCTTGGGAAATGGGGTTAATTCAGCCTGTTATGTATTTATTCAGCCTGTTAATTCAGCCCCGTTATTCAGCCTTGGTAAATAAAGCAGGTGCAGGAGGTGGCAGCCGGTGCAGGGGTTGTTAAGCAGGGATTTGTGCAAAGGCTACAGTCAGTCTGAGCTGCTGCAGCCCGTCCTGGCTGCTCGTCCACCTGTCGGGTGGATTTGGGAGGTGTGTGTGTGTGTGTCAGTGCCTGACACCCAGCTCTCTGAGAGATGTGTTTCCAAGAGAGCGGAGCCGACAGCCTCTCTGGGATAAAACACTGGGCAATCCAGGGAAAAGCCAAACCTCCACTGACATGCTTTGGGGCTGCGGTTCCCTGTCCCAGGATTTCAGAGCTTGGAGGCAAAAAATGTCAACACTGAATGTTCACCACAAGATAACGGTTTGGGCAATGTCTCTTTTGATGTTAACTAAGGGTAAAGCCTAATTGTCTAATCCCCATCCGAGGTAAGGTCGCCCTTTTCGACTGCGCAAAAAACATTGGCATTTTCAAAGTGTGAGAAGGAAGAGGTTTAAAAGAAATTGAAGACGTTTTCTTGAACACACTATCTGGCAATAAATGTTTGAAATTGTAAGCTTAGATCTCAATGCAAACAATGTCTAAAAAAAAAAGAACAACCTTCACATTGAACAGCCATAAAAAATGATGTAATACATGCTTTCTACAGAAATTGCTGCATAAAATATTAAGCTGGGTGGACCCGAAATTCTTTTGAGCATGAAACCATTTTAATTCTTTTGCAGGCGTGAAGAGTGTTCACTCGATTTTGGTTTATTGAACTAGGGCAGTCCGAGAGGAACTTTTTTTTGCAGAAAGAGGGATTGGAAAAGCAGAAAATCTCTTCTAATCTCTGTATAGGATGTAACTAGGAGAGCTCTACCAGTCTCTAAAATCTGGAAAGTCTAAACAATCATCAAAAGCCAGGGTGGTTTCTTCACTGCAGAGAGTGCTTGCTTTGTAAAAAGTCTGTATAAAAGTAGTTTGTTACTTTTTACTTAAACTTTCTTTTTATTCTTTAACTGTCCAACATATTTAATGTGGATTTATTGAGGTACCAAAAATGCATCATTTCTGGCTACATCCGTAGCCAGAAAATACTTCGATTCAAGTCTTTAATGAAAATGGGTAAATTATCTATTAAAAAAACCAGCAGCTCTTCATAATTTTCTGACATAAAATACAGCTGCAAAATTGCTTAAATAAAGGGCAGCCTTGCAGCATATGTATCTTTATAGCGAAAAAAGGGACTGATTTCAGCATAGAAGTTGTTGTTAATTAAAAATTAACATGTTTTGGTTACCAGTCAAGTAGAATGAACCTCTCTTCGGGAAAATAACTAAAAATCCAATCACAGAAGATGAATCTATTAGTAAAACCAACATTTTCCTGCTCAGTGATCTAAATCAGTCGTTTTAATCATTTTTGATTAAATTCTGCCCTCTCTGTATGATTGTGCTTCTGGTTCAGTGGCTTCCCCAAGCTAGAGGAGAAGACAACGTACGCCTGAGCCTGGTCGTTGGGGTGCATCTGCTCTAGATGACCCCAGGGAGGTGACCCAGCATTGATGCTGCCTGTTTTGGGTCATATTGTGGATGGGATTACATGGTGGAGGATCTTATGGTGGCTTCTCTCACACCTGCCCGGTGGTGTCTTTATACCTGCCTACCTGAGATAAAGCAGCTTGGAATAGCTGGCCTGAACCCTCTGTTGCTGTTTGCTGGCATGAAAACATAAAGCCAGCTCTGTTGAGTCAGGTCAATAGCCAGCCCCTCGGGGAAGGAGGATGAGAACATAGAGAACACGGGGTGATACAACCCTCAAGCACCCTTCTGGCCCGCAGTGAGACGTAGCCTTGGGGCTTCCTAAAATGCACAGTGTCTTTGCATTTATTAGTCTTCTGAGGAATTTTTTTTTGATGCATTTTTGCAGGCTGTGATTTGAATCCTTTTTTGATGCATTTTTGCAGGCTGTGATTTTAATCCTTTCTTTTTTTTTTCTTTTTTTTTTTTTTATCCAATTGTTCTGTTCAGCCAAGTTCATCTGGCCAGGCTTAACGTGTAGGGGCTGTGTGTGTGGCAGTGCAGGTGAGCAAGGAATAATTGATACGATGATCTGAATATAGAAACTGGATCCTAAAGCATAAAAGATGAGAGGTGTGGAATCATTAGGCTGAATGCTCTGCAGAATGTGTTCAGGGTAGACTGACAAGGGCTTTCATTCCGGATCTAATGATATTGAAGATTTAATGGGCAGTACTTGGAGACAGAATTTATTCTTCCGTGCTATTGATGCCCTCGTAAGTTGTGAGTGGCAGGCTAAAGTGGGCCATAAAGGACTGTGGAAAGGCCATCAATAACCAAGTAAGAAAAATAATGTGCATCCTCTAAACACAGGCAGTAGTAAGTGCTGATGAACGAGCTGCAGAAAGGTAATGGTGTGGTTTAGGCAGTTGACAAAAGAGCAGGAAGGGAGGATCGTGGCTGTGTTGAGGACCATTCCTCAAAGCCTTGGCAAATATTTGCAGTGTTGGGAGTCTGTTGAGGGCCCTGAAGTGATGCAGCACCTCCCATAGCTCCTTTCTCCTCAGCTGAGCTGGGAAGTCAGGGAAGGTCCCGTGAGCTATGCCAGTTGATAGCCAGCAGCACCGATGCTTGACCTGGAGGCTGTGGCTATCCCATGGGCATAAGGCAGGACTTGGATTAAGAAAGATCTGCCCGAGGGTCTGTGTGGCTGAAACAGGCAAAATTGGCATCTTCTGGTGTCATCTCTAGGATCAGCTCGGAGCTCCCAGTGAAGAGAGAGAAACATATTTGAAAAGTTCAGAAAGAGTACAGATGTTCGTGTCTGCATGAGTGAGCTTGTCGTCTGTCCAGCCCATCCTAAAGAGGTGGTGTTCAGCTCGCATGGTGGCACCTGGGTCATCACCCTGTATCTGAGTGATGATTATTCTTGCTGGAGGACTGAGCAGACATCGAGGGCCTTGTGAGTTTAGCTGTAACTGACAGCTCTGGCTGTGAGGAAATGGGCACAAACTTGAACATAAGAAGTTCCACCTAAACATGAGGAGGAACTTCTTTCCTGTGAGGGTGGCAGAGCCCTGGAAGAGGCTGCCCAGGGAGGTGGTGGAGTCTCCTTCTCTGGAGACATTCAAACCCACCTGGACACATTCCTGTGCAATGGGCGCTGGGTGGACCTGCTCTGGCAGGGGGTTGGAGTAGATGATCTCCAGAGGTTCCTTCCAACCCCATATCATTCTGTGAATCATGCACAAGATATTTGGGTGTTTAACAGCACTTTCCATCCAAGTCTACAAACAAGCAGATTAAACTTCTCTCTTACCTGTGAGATGGCTGGTCACTGCTGCCTTCACTTGGTACAGAGGGAAAAGAAGCTGGAGTGAGCTTAGATGGTGTGCTAAAAGTCCTGGCGTGAAGCAGTGGCAGAGTTAAGACTATGACCCGATGTTCAACTCGGTAACCACAAGGCAACGTTGGTCACAACATGTTACCTGAATATGCAAAGACTGAAACTTTAAAATGGTGCATTTACTAGGGTATTTTCTGTCAATGCTGAGGAAAAAAGGTGTAAACTATAACTGTTGATTCCATTTCTTCATAACTACTCTTCTTCTTCTCTGCTCCTCCCCACTAGACCTCTGACTTGGATTGAAGAAAGGGGACCAGGGATGAGACGTGAAAAGAAAATCAACTTCTGTTTCACAAGTGGTTGCCTGGAGAACTTCCCTCAAGCCCCGAGGTCTGCTGTGGGCCTTTTCATGCAGGATCAGAACCTCTTTGCTAAAAAACTGCTGGGCCAGGTATCCAAGGAGGAGCTGGCTGCTGAGAAGTGGCGAATTTTGCGGTGTCTTGACCTCGCTGATGTGATCCAACAGCACTGTGAACAGCCAGAGAAAATCTGTCCCTGAGACTGCTCTTAGGGAAGGAGGAACACGGCAGATGGGAGAGCTGTAGGGCTAGGGCTCACTCTTGCCATCAAGCAGTTGCTGTTTCTGTTTCATGACCTTCTTTATCACTAGTTGTGACTCCTAGGCTCTCTGGGTGGGCTGGAGAGCCTGGGCTATACCCTGTGCCTTCTGGTGTGTGCCAGAATAAAGCAACATTACCCTGCTCCGATGCATTGCCGTCCTTCCAGGCAGGTAGGAACCCAGCAGCAACAAGCTTTCCTGTGGTTGCTTCCACACCATTCAGTTGGAAATGTCCCTGAGAGTGCCTCCTGCAGGACTGCAAATACTGGGCACGATTTTCCCTCCTGAGGGTTTGGTTTTTTCCCCCCCTCTATCCAGATACGTCTGAAAATGAGATGCATCTCATCATTCATTAGAAATGTTAGCTAGGATGAAGTTGTAGGTGGGTTTTCCACCTCTTCATATGAATCTGCAGAACTTGTGCCGCCACAGTCCTGACCTTATCTTCCAGGTGCCCTGAACTGTTCTGTGAGTTTGCTCCAATTAGGAGTTGTGCCTGTTTGTTGGAGGGTTGGTTTTTTTTTTGTTGGGTTTTTTTGTTGGGTTTGGGGGGTTTGGGAGTTGTGCCTGTTTGTTGGAGGGTTGGTTTTTTTTTTGTTGGGTTTTTTTGTTGGGTTTTGGGGTTGGGTTTTGGGGGTTTGTTTTTTTCTTTTCACACTGGAAATCATCTGCCTTCGAACAGAATCTACATTGGTATCAAACCAGACCAGAAGAAATATCTTGTCTCTTGATAGATGCCATGTTGAGTTCACTCACTTAATTTCTCTGGTGCCCTGTGCCAACATGGAAATCTTTTTTCCAGCAGAGATTCCAGCAGTAATTAACAGATTGCCTGCCTGCTTTCTACTGAATGTAAATATTTTCCTTTCTTTTCATACTGGAAGCAGCATATTATTGTCCTTCATTTGTGTTCTGTATCTAAATCAGCATGTGAATGGATCACTGCTAAAAATAATGTACAGCCTGGCTTTAAAAAAAAAAAAAAACCAAACCGCAACCCTGATGTGCTCCTGGAAACAGTGAAATTCATTAGAAATAGCGATAAAATTAGAATTAGAACTGCAGAAAATGGAGCAATTTGCAAATATAGCCGTGCAGTGATGGCATGTGACACCTGTGGGGATGGGTCTTTAGTATTTTACAGTAGTTCCATGGTCCCTTATGAAGGGCTTATTGCTTCCCTAAAGAAGCATTTTAGTTTTTAGGAAAAAGCCTGAACATAGCACAAAACTATTAACAATTCCTCCCTTTGCCTTTTAATTTCAAATCACAGCATCTGCTGGTGCTCTATTAATACAGCAGCAAACTTCAGTCTGCACACTTTGAAGCACAGAACCGTCCTTTTTTTTTATGTTATCACTTGAGCAATTTTTAATAAAGGGGCATAAATGCTGTGAATGTGAACGTAATCACAGCAAGATGGATGGCAGAAAGGCTTTCTTTAGGTGAACCGTGTTCATTCAGAGGCTGGGTACAGTTCAGTTAGATTGAAGTAGGGGAGGAAAGGCTGTGTATTTTTTTTCCCAAATTGGTCACATTTTAGGAGCAACTGGGGCTTGATGAGTGAATGAATTCTCCGTGCCATTTTTTTTTTTAAAAATCTGTTAAAATCAACAAAAAGCCTCCCACTTACTTCAACGGGTTGACGCCCGCGTGGGTTGCCAGCAGGTTTGTCCACTTGCCCACCCGAATGGACACTCTCTACCTTACTGGACTTCTCTACCACCAAGGTGGCGGATGGGATGCTGTGTGAGGGGGGGAAAAGTGGGTTCGTGGCAAAATGCAAAAAGTCCACCTGGGGTCAAAATGAAATGAAAATCTGCTGTGTGTGCCTATCTGCTGTCTATGGCAGCACGCAGGAGGTCCTGCTTCTTGGCAGTGGGCTCCTCAGCTGTGAATATGGGGTGAATACCACTTGTTTAGATGCTAATTCACAAGGGGTAAGTGGGGAGGGGAGGGCAAAGGGAAGGGGGATTCATGCTCCCCCCTTCTATAGGCATCAAAATTGGCCACCAGGTCTCCCTGGGCGTGCTCTGCAGATGCTGGCAAGAGCAGTGTTTCCTCTAAGAAACAGGGAATAAATTCACAGGAGCTCTGTAGAGCAGCAGAGGAACATTGTTACTCTGATTGTAACATCAGCAAGTTTGCGGATGACACCAAGCTGTGTGGTGTTGTCGATACACCAGAGGGATGGGATGTCATCCAAAAGGACCTGGACAGGCTGGAGAGGTGGGCCCAGGTGAACCTCATGAGGTTCAACAAGAGCAAATGCAAGGTTCTGCACCTGGGCCGGAACAATCCTCGCCACCAATACAAACTAGGGGGTGAGGGATTGGAAAGCAGCCCTGAGGAAAGGGACTTGGGGGTGCTGGTGGAGGAGAAGCTGGACATGAGCAGGCAGTGGGCAGCTGCAGCCCAGAAGGCCAATCCCATCCTGGGCTGCATCAAAAGGTGCGTTGCCAGCAGGTCCAGAGAGGGGATTCTGCCACTTTACTCTGCTCTGGTGAGACCTCACCTGGAGTATTGTGTGCAGGTCTGGAGCCCTCAGTATAAGAAGGATATAGACCTGATGGAGAGGGTCCAGAGGAGGGCCACAAGGATGATCAGGGGGATGGAGCACCTCTGCTACAAGGACAGGCTGAGGGAGCTGGGGTTGTTCAGCCTGGAGAAGAGGAGGCTCCGGGGAGACCTAATAGCAGCCTTCCAGTACCTGAAGGGAGCCTACAGGAAGGCTGGGGAGAACCTGTTTAGAAAGGCCTGCAGTGACAGGACGAGGGGCAATGGCTTCAAGCTGGAGGGGAACAGATTTAGACTGGAGATGAGGAGAGGGTTCTTCACTGTGAGGGTGGTGGAGCACTGGAACAGGTTGCCCAGGGAGGTGGTTGAGGCCCCATCCCTGGAGATATTCAAGGAGAGGCTCGACGAGGCCCTGGGCAACCTGGTCTAGTTGGGGGTGTCCCTGCTGACTGCGGGGGGGTCGGACTAGATGGCCTTTGGAGGTCCCTTCCGGCCTGGGAAATTCTATGATTCTATGATTCTATGATTGTGCAGCAAATCACCCTCCGGAGAAGCTTGTTTCCACGCCTGGGGAAATTAGCTGGCTAATTTGAGCTCGGGAAGGCAGATGCCTAGAGCTGGATATCCCATGCTCTCCTCCATCCCCCTCCCATTCCTCCCCGCTGACCTGCTTCCCTCCTGCTCTCTGCCCTTGCTCCCGGGAGCCTGTGGCATTCGGATGGCTTTTCCTCCAGCCCCAGGAATTCGCTGGGTTATCGCGGTGGTTTGCGTGCAAGAGTTTCTGGATGTCAGGCTTTAAACCTGCGCCTTGTTTAACCAGGTGTGGAACTCGCCAATAAAACATTGGAGCTCTTAATTGTTCTTTTTCATTCCCGTTGTCCCTCATTAGCAGTTCCCACTGTCTGTGCTGAAAGTGGCTCTGTCCTGACCCCTTCTTCTCCCCCCATTCTCACCCCCCAAGCCCTGTGAAATCCTGCTGGCGACGACGGGCTGTGATCCTATCCTACAGCCCTCTCCTGTTTCAAAGGTTTGAATGGCAAGCTCTGGTGGGGAATGTGACCTTATCTCAACTCGTGAGCCCTCCCACGAAATTCCTGCCCTTCCGGCCCCGTGTCTGACTCCTGGCCAGGAGTGCTGGTGAGCCCAAACCTTGCCTGAACGCTTCCACTTTCCCTCTCAACAGCTCATGTGTTTAAACAACCTTTTTTGGATCTGCTAAGTAGAGTCTGAAATGGGGACTGAAATGTTTGTGGGTTGGGTTTTGGGTTTTTTTTGGTGGTTTTAATAAACTGCTTTATCATAGCAGAAAGACTGCCAGGAGAATTTTTCAGATTGTATTTGGCATAACCTGAACCCAGCCAGTTTTAGAAGTATGAAAAGGTAAGTACAGGTGTGCCGTGGGCAGATTGGTGTCTATAACTTTGGAAGCTGCTGCTTTTCTCCTCCCACGAAATTCCTGCCCTTCCGGCCCCGTGTCTGACTCCTGGCCAGGAGTGCTGGTGAGCCCAAACCTTGCCTGAACGCTTCCACTTTCCCTCTCAACAGCTCATGTGTTTAAACAACCTTTTTTGGATCTGCTAAGTAGAGTCTGAAATGGGAACTGAAATGTTTGTGGGTTGGGTTTTGGGGTTTTTTTGGTGGTTTTAATAAACTGCTTTATCATAGCAGAAAGACTGCCAGGAGAATTTTTCAGATTGTATTTGGCATAACCTGAACCCAGCCAGTTTTAGAAGTATGAAAAGGTAAGTACAGGTGTGCCGTGGGCAGATTGGTGTCTATAACTTTGGAAGCTGCTGCTTTTCTGCTGGAAACCACCCCGTACCTGTGGGACGGTGTAGGAAGTCCACTGCAGTACACTTTATTACCTCTGCAGGATGTTATGGAGAAGTTATGGAAAGTGCTGTGATGCACAATGCTCCTCCGTGGAGGGGGGATGCTCAGTTTGCTCGTCTCTGGTGGATGGGAGGCATGGACTCACGAACTGCAATTTACCTCTGCAGGATGTTATGGAGAAGTTATGGAAAGTGCTGTGATGCAAAATGCTCCTCCGTGGAGGGGGGATGCTCAGTTTGCTGACGTGGGCTGACGCTCGTCTCTGGTGGATGGGAGGCAGGGACTCACGAACTGCAACGCGCTGGCTGAAACCTGGGAGAGGGGCTTTGATCCAAAGGTCTTTTCAGAAGGCTAGAGATCAGGGGAATGGAAAATTTCCAAAGAGGAAAGAGGGTAGCTATTGGGATGAGCACTTGCAAAGCTGTGTGGGGAGCCCTGGCTGAGAGGGAAAGAATATGATTTTGGAATCAAGTGTTTACCTGAGACCCTGGTCTGTGGGGGCTGGGAGTGGAGTCTAATTCAGAGTCATAGAATGGTTAGAGTTGGAAGGGACCTCAAAGATCATCGAATTCCACCCCCCTGCCCTGGGCAGGGACACCTCCCACCAGACCAGGTTGCTCCAAGCCCCATCCAGCCTGGCCTTGAACCCCTCCAGGGATGGGGCAGCCACAGCTTCTCTGGGCAACCTGTTCCAGTGTCTCACCACCCTCACAGCAAAGAATTTCTTCCTAATATCTAACCTAAATCTCCCCTCTTTCCATTAAAAACCATTACCCCTTATCCTATCCCTACA